CAGTGTTGTCAACGCCGTGGGTTTTTCGGCCCGCGCGAGAGCGTCGTGCGCATGCGTCAGCTGACGTCACAGCTCACGCCAGCTACGGAGTAACGGAGTACGGAGGTTATCGAGGTGCAACAAGGGCGCTGGAGCTGGAGGCTCCAAAGTAATATAATAAACTGTGCCCTGTATGAATAAGGACGGATCTAAGTTAGGGATACAAGAAGGAGAAGAAGAAGGTGCAGCAATAGGTGCGTATAAGGGGTCCCTTGTATTTTTCTGGCGTTTGTTGTAAGAAATAAGTTAGCAGTGTGTCATATTGTGCAGATCAAGATATTCTGCAGTGATAGAGAAAATCACGCAACGGAGATGGATCATCCAGAGCCGTCGACATCGGGTGACATCAAAGAAAAGAAGAGGACATCAAAAATGAAAGTATTCCAGTACTCTTGGTTAAGTATAGATATTTTTAAAGAATGGTTAATGCCACACGAAGATAATAAAAAGGCTCTCTGCACGGCTTGTGATAAAGTTATTTTATGTGGCAAATCAGATTTAATAAGACATTCCAAAACAAAGTTACATGTGACGAATATTAGTAAGAGCCGTAATGTCACACCATCTGCTTTATTGCCTAAGCTCAAATGTAATATTAAAGATGCGGACCATGTTAAGAAAGTTAAAACAGCCGACATAGAGATAGCTGCTTTTTACGCGGAACATAATATAGCTTTTAGAACTGTAAATCACATGGTCCCTTTAATGAAAAAAACTGCACCGGTAATTAACGATGTGAAAATGTCAAAAACAAAATGTACAAAATTAATAACAAATGTCTTAGGAAAACGCGAAACCGATAAACTTATTACAACTTTAAAAAGTCAGAAATTTTCTATTTTAGTAGATGAAAGCACAAGTATCTCAAACGATAAGTTGCTTTGTATTTTAGTAAAGTATGTATCATTAGAAACCAAAAAGTGCATTACTCAATTATTACAATTAGTTGCATTAGATGCAACGGATTGTTCTGCAGACAAATTATATTCTGCATTTGAAAAATGTTTAAAAAGTAAAGGAATACCATTGTCAAATATTGTAGGAATGGCTTGTGATAACGCTTCTGTGATGATAGGAGTTCGAGATTCTTTTGCAAGTAGATTAAAAAAAGAGGTACCGGCCCTTGTTGTATTAAATTGTATATGCCATTCCTCAGCTCTTATATCGAGTAAAGCTTGTTCAAAATTGCCGGATTCTTGTGAAGATGTCTTGCATGCAGTTGCTACATATTTCTCGACCAGTGCAAAAAGATCTGCTATCCTGTGCGATTTCCAGAGCTTTTTTGGAGTAGAATCACGTAAAATCTTAAAATTATCAGGTACAAGATGGCTCGTCTTACAGAAGTGTGTTACTAGACTTCTCGATAACTGGGAAGTCTTGAAACATTACTTCCACCTGGAAACTATTGAAAGTAAAAATAAATCGGCAATAACAATCTTTAATACTTTAAATGATAATAAAATTAAAGCATATATGTTATTTTTAAAATATTGTTTGAAATTCTTTAATCAGTTTAATGCGTTCTTTCAAGGAAGGAACATTTTAATTCATAAATTAGCTGAGAGTAGTGAGCATTTAATAAAGCAGATAGGTAACAATTTCTTGCTGCCTGAGGCGTTAAAAAATATTTCTTTAGAAATTATTAACTTGCAAAATTTTTTACCATTAAATTCAATATATGTTGGTCCCGAATGCGAATCTTTGTTAAAATTAGAGTCTTTAGAATTTGTTATAGAAATAAAATCCAGATGTTTATCTTTTTACATAACCGCGTTAAAAGAAATGATAAAACGATTGCCTTACAATAATGAAATGTTTCGAGAACTGACATTTTTAGATCCAAGTATAGCGTTGAGCGACGAAAGTAGACTTACCTTTCCAGACTTGAGAAATGTAGCAAGACATTTTCAAATTTCCGATATTACGGCTTTAGCCTGTGAGTGGAGAACGTTGCCTATTGTATTTAATGACGCGGATAAAATTCATTTAGCTAACTTAGAACTTGATGACATGTGGAATAATATTTTTCAAAAAAAGAATTTGAATGGTGAACCGTCTTTTCCAAATTTAGAAAATTTAGTACATGCAGTTATGTCACTTCCACATTCCAATGCCGAAGCAGAGAGAATTTTTTCAATTGTTACAGATGTGAAAAATAAAAAGAGGAATCGGCTTGATGTCGCCACTTTGGACGCAGTTTGTAAAGTACGTTCTAGTTTTCAAACTAATAACACTGATTGTCGCACTTTCAAAGTAGATTCAACACATTTAGAACTGCACAATTATAAGAATTTATATTCTCTTAACAATAGTCAAGATAAAGATAAATAGAAATTGTTGATTTTTACGCATGCTTTTATTATAACTTTTCCCTCTAGTGTCAATTTAACCTCATTTTTTAAATATTTTAGTAACATTTCAACAAGTACAAATGTAACAACTTCTTTGAAAATCTTTTTTTTGCTCCCGCGACCCATGTGTTTTGCCATTGCTTTTAATATTTTTGAGCATGGACACTTTCCTCTTTTTATTCCACTGATAACTAATGATATTTCTACTTTGTTGTCACACAACTCGTGTTCAATTATTTTTTGCAGATTGTCTATTGTAATTTTTTAGTTTTACTTTGTGTGACAACATCAACATATCAAAGCAGTGCAATACTTTTTTCTTTCTGTTATATTTCTTTCTTTTTTATTTTTTTTCTTTCTACGATCCAGCATGCACAGGTGCATGCATCTGAGAAAGTTTTAAGTATTTATTGAATATTTATTTTAATATTTTTTTAGATATTTAATTATTTATTGTCAATTGCACTATTATTTTCTTTGTATTTTATTTGTAGAGACTTGTCTTATATGTATCTGTTATTAATCAGTAATTTACTTTGTTTTAGCAACCTTCTTGAGATGCCTCCATTTCGTCAGACTGCGGCAATATGAAGTATTTATCACATGTATATTTATTCATATGTATATTTCTTATGTACAATGTTATTTTTTTAATACTGGTAAGGTTTTCTGCAGTTTCCCTTACCCTAGCAACAAATGTTGGTATTCATATAATAAATCGGCTGCAGACGTACAAAATAACAAATAAATTAATTTTGTTATTACCACTTATATTAACTACATTCTATTTTTTTAATATAAACTCTTTCTTCTCCCCCTGCAACTTCCTTCACATTTCCTTTCTTGCTGGGACCTGACGATACCTCATATTTGGCCGAAGTGTATACGTTACTTGCTGTGACGTCAGCTGACGCATGCGCACGACGCTCTCGCGCGGGCCGAAAAACCCACGGCGTTGACAACACTGAGATATTGGGATATATATACAAAACAGTGACATATAATATGGTGTATAACTTATTACACATTCTCTATTATCTTTTGATTTTATGAGCTACTTCCAAAGATATTGGCCATTCGAACTAGAAGGAAATTACATTACGAAAGTTAATACGACGTATCAATCTATCCATCACATATTCTTTATTGCTATGTATTTATG